CGAGCACCATGTTTTGTCCATCGAGGAAAAACGTGGCACGGCTTAGCCCCTCTGTTTTATCAAAAAATGCTTGAGGGATGATGATCACAAAGATGAGCTGACCCCTCGTCCGAACCCCTGCAACGTGCGGAGGCTTGAGAGAAGTTGGACTCGCAAGGAGACCAAATGTGTGGTCGCAGGATGATGGCTCGGATCCTAGGGAGGGGTACGTAGAAAAACTAAGAATAACGTTTCTAAAACAAAAAATGCTTTCTCTTACCAGTTTCGCTATCGTCTCCTCGATCTTAAGTCAAACCTAACCCCAGCAACGGCAAGGGGTCGGGCCTCACTCGGGGGCTGATAAGGGTATATATATATCCTTTCTAAAATAGTCATCGTGCCCACCCTTTCTCACGTTAAAAACATAGAGGCAAGGTTTGCGGAAACGAACACTGAGTAAAACTGGTCGAACTACAAGAAACCTCTGCCCCAGCAGCTACAACACTCTTGCTTACCAGCGTGATCAGAGTTTCTCACCCACACCTTGAGCTCTACGGTCTTAACAACAGGAAGGGTCGGAACACATTAACCCTTTTTACACATAAAAAGAGAGAAAGAACAAATTTGTTCAACCAAAACAAAGAACAAGCTTGTTTAAATGAAACAGGAGGGTTGGAACTTGTCCGCTTATTTCAAATGTGCCGCCTGATCTATCTGACTAAACTAACCCCTTGGAGGGATGATTTCATCTTCTATCTTGGCAGAAAGGTCATGCGCTAGGGGGGCCACCTCCTTCTCGATGTCATCTAGCTCGGCGTCGGTATAGACGGGCGTGAAGCCTTGGCTCATCGTCGCTAGATCGATGTTCTCGTAATGAGAATGGGCGATCGCTAATGATTTGTCAACGCCAAAGCGAAGCGCGCCCCTTGCCATATCACATGCTCGGTCCGTGATCCGGATGGCGTGAACCGTGAGCGACCTTGTCTCCTGCTCCGAGGCCAGCTCGAGCTCATCGTAGACCAGCTAGACGGCGACGCGCAGGTTGTCATGTTCATCGCTCTCCTTCTAGAGGGTGTCCTTCACCTTGCTGAGCTTCTTCTCTAGGCCATGGCTCTTCACCACCTCCGCCCCGAGCTTGTCATCGAGACCTACCCAAGTCACGTACCGACATTGTCAAAAGGCTTACCATGGATCCAAGGGAGAAAGACAACAAGGGAAACCAGAGACTTACCGTCCACGTCCGCAAGTAAGGAGGGATACAGAGCTAAAAACGCTCCTACGGCCCATTCAGGACCAGGAGTTCGAAGGCTGACCCACCGACGGGTTTACAGTCCGCTCTGGGGCACCCTTAGAGCGAGGGGTGGAAAGGGATGGGCCCACTAGCGGCCATTACCCGGCACACGAGCGTCGTGGGCATCCTAGACCATGTTCGAGTCTTGGTCAGTTCCTAGTCCATGGTTTTTTCTCGAAGAAAGGCAATGAGCCCTTGGGATCGGCCAAATGTACCTAAGAACTATATGGATTGGCCACCAAGAGTCTGGAGTCGGTCACCAGCTGACCCATGCCGGACCCCCACGAATAGGAAGTCGGGGCCCCACTCGGACTAGCCCGTTAACAGCTCACTGAACACCATGTTGAGTCCATCGATAAAAAACATGGCACGGCTCAGCCCCTCCATTTTATCGAAAAAAACGCTTGAGGGATGACGATCACAAAGACGAGATGACCCTCGACCGGACCCCCACTACGCGTAGGGGCTCGAGAGAAGTTGGACTCGGAAGGAGACCGAACGCTTGTCACAGTACGACGGCGGACCAATCGGATCCTAGAGGACCGGAATCAAGAAAAATCTTTCCGACCTCCCGAATCCTACAGTTACATGCCTCCTAGAAGACCGATCGCGACAAAAGGGAATCGCCGTCCTACCAAGAAATGACGCGGGCTACAAAAAGAAGGGCAAGGCCCTCAGAGTCCTCCCGTCCGGAAATGCCTCTAAAGGAGTATTCTACTCCTCCGTAGGCTCGAGGGCTACTATTGGGTATCGATATTAGGGATACCCAAAGCAAGAAAGTCAGCGGTTCTGGATGGCTCGAGACATATTAAAAGGTCTCGCCCGACCCCAAGGCCGCGGGCTCCATCTCGCCCGACCTCAAGGCCGCGGGCTCCGTCTCGCCCCTTGGGTGAAGGCTCCATCTCGCCCGACCCCAAGGACGCGGGTTCCGTCTCGCCCGACCCCTTGGGTGCAGGCTCCGTCTCGCCCGACCCCTAAGGACGCGGGTTCCGTCTCCCCGACCCCTTGGGTGCAGGCTCTATCTCGCCCGACCCCAAGGACACGGGTTCCGTCTCACCCGACCCTTTGGGTGCGGGCTCTGTCTCGCCCTACCCCTTGAGTGCGGGCTCCGTCTCGCCCGACCCCAAGGACGCGGTTTCCATCTCGCCCGACCTTGAGGACGCGGGCTTCGTCTCGTCCAAGGTCGCGGGCTCCATCTCGCCCAACCTCGAGGACGCGGGTTCCGTCTCATCCGACGGGGACCCATAGCGCCGCCAACCACTCTAGGTCCAAGTGTATGGGCCTAGGTCAAAACTCTGACGCCAAGGAAGAGGCTGGCACGCCTCGATGTAACCCGTGGCCATGACGGGCCATACCTGGGGATTCACATCAAGAACAGTGTCGGTCGTGCCAGTGTTCTTCTGCCTAATCCTCATATGAACGCTGACAGACGCGTCAGTTCACCGCGACGTCCGCTAGGGACGGAGTGGAACGCCATGACCGGCAGATGACGCCTGCGCATGGCGCCAGTGACGAACAGGGCCGCGATATAGAGCCGTCCCTGTTGACATCTACAGGATCAGCAGGACCCGCATGAAGAAGAAGAAGGACCCGGCGACCCTAGAAGCCTTTTTCTCTCTGTCGTTCTTCTTCTTTTCCTCCTCTGATAACCCGCGCTTTCCTTCTCCTATAAAAGAGGAAGCAAGGCGCCCCACACTGGGAGATCGGAACACAAGAGCATAACACGAGCACATGGCTGAGCGGCAAACGAGCTCTCAGCACCCGTTCACTCCTTTTACCAGAGATTTGGGATCCTCTCCCTCTCTTGCATGTTTGTAACTCCTACTACAAACCAAGTGCCGGTAACACGAGAAGCAGCGAACTGGACGTAGGGACGTTCCGTCCGAACCAGTATAAACCCTTGTGTCCTCCAAGCACACCATCCGAGCCAGACGCGCAAATACAAATTTACTCGTTGGTGGTCCGAAAACACCAACAGATGTACTCCAGGAGTTATGGAAATGGGGGAAGCCAGCTTTCTTCTGTAACTGAATTTGCCGGTTACAGTTTGGTATCGTTCTTATATTTTGCTGTCTCAAGATTACAACGCTGTCACACAAGTTCTGTGTGATTTGAATTTCAAAAGTTGACATGTTCGGAAAATTATGTTTCATTGGGTTCACGATGAATCAATTGGCTTGTGTTCTGTTGTATACTGTATATTGTTACACTCTGAAAAGAAAGGAGAAAACACTGATATGGCCTGAACAAACGTTGAACCAGCGCCAGCAGTTTCTCGCTGAACTTAAATGCAATCGCCATTTTTCTTTGGGCACTCCGAAATCTCCAACCGTCACGTTTGTTGATTGTAGCCTCTACTGCCTCGTAATCTTGTTTCTGCTAGATTTGACACCTGTAGTTAGCAGAAACTTGAAAGGTCGTCTTCCTTGCGAGCTTTGTTGAAATGCAGCTGGAATCCATCATCTGCTGATGGTCAAACATTTCCCATCTATGTACTGATTACTCGTCTCATATTTTTGGATGCTTTATGGTGATCCAGAGGATGACATGGGAGAAGCTTGTTTCGTTTGGGCATCCAGATGCCCGTCACTGCCGTGAGCTGTCCTCCGGAGACCCTTGCAGAATCGTTCTTGGTCAGAGCAGAGGGCAGCTCTGTTCTGTTCAGCAGTGGTAGGCTCTCTCACCCAGCTGGTGCTGCAGCAACAACAACATGCCGTCGCTCTCCCCGTCCCCGGGCCGGCCGGCTGCTACTGTTGGTCGCCGTAATGGCGACCCGACCCGCGGTCCCTCGCGTCACCTTTCCGTCCGCGGCGACAGACAGGGCCCCTCCGCCCGGTCCCTGGCACAGCTCGCTCTCACATCACCGGTCACCGCCGGAGGTCGGCACGACGACCGGGTTCGGCGGCGGAGTCTCCCACCGTTCGTCGCCTTGACCCGGTGATGAAAGGATCAACCACCTCTGTTTTTTCAACAGTCAACCGCTTACCAGAATTGCTGTTCTCTTCTGGACAAGGGTTAAGACGTGCAGACAACATCCACACCAGACCAGGTCATGGTGGTCTCGCCTGCCACCGGAAAAGCCAGCATGTCACGCACATACGCAGCACTGACACGAGCCTGACCGCACGAGACACGGACGGCAAGAGGATACAGTGTTAGAAGCACATGCAGATCCAGCTACGGCAGGATGCCAGAACAAATATTCCTACAGCAATTTCACTAAACAGAAACACCACCCTGGACGGCAGGGCAACCAGGCAGGACCATCCAGATCTAGTATAAGACAGGCTGATCGTCTGCATTTACAATACAAAGCAGGTTGCAGGCTTTACAGCATTCACAAAAACGAAGGTGACTAGTAAAAATCAATCAAAAGTAAAAAAAAAAAGAGAGGCTTATTTGGACATAAGCGCACTGATTGTCAGCACATCCTAAACTGAAAGTGTTAAATACACCAGACGACAAGGATTATAAATTCACAGCAAGGGTGCAAATCTACAGGCACTATGAATGAAATGAAAAAAGAATCAACTATTTATACAGAATAGGATCTAGCAAGCTGGAAAAAATCATTGCTTCTAGGATCTTTACAGTGCTACCTGCCTGTCTTGGTGTTGGATTCTGGTGGGAACCTTTATGCAAGCTTAGTTTTCCTTGCCTGGTCAGTACTCAGTAATGTGGGCTATTGGTTTGGTATGTGGCAGTATTACAAAGACGAGCGGCGTCGTCGTCATCGGAACAGGTCAGGGAAGGACCACATGATGAACTTGGCGTAGAGGTCAGTCTCCAGGAACTCGATGTGGGCTGCTCTGCCGATCATGGTGTTCAGGCTTCGCCCTTGGTTGGACTGGTCGAAATTCACATTGCAGCGCATGAATGTCCGGGTGTCGGATGAGGGCGCACGGATCTGGTCCAAGCAGTTGTTGAGCATTTCTGTGAAGACTTCACCCTTCTTTGAGGTGTCTGATGATGCAGCTGGGCAGAGCTCAATTCTCGCTGAATGATATGGTACATAGCCATCCTGGAAGAACAAAAAGATGCGCATAGTCATGACATGCTATAAGGACTATAGAGCCCAAATTGTTTACTGCAGCAAAACAAATTCCACACAAGTAAATTACTATTAGAGATGAGAAAAGGGAATAACCTGTGGTGATGATAACAATATGATATTTTTGAAGTTCTCCAATGTTTTCAACTGTATGAACAAGAACAGTAATAGTTAATCATAAATTCATCTTGATGTAAATAAAATCTAGCATAAATCAGCAACAAGTCGAATGGCCTAAGTTACTCCAGATGGGGACTTCGTACCTTGCAAAGCTTATAAAAGTATGTATTTTGGGGGTCTTGATCATCACTGAAAGTGAGTTGATGGATGCATTGCGCTCCCTTGAGCTTTTTCAGCAGCCAGAGTCCAGAATTGAACAACGAATTTGAACTGTACCAGTAACCCAAGTGAGGCCCTGATATTGACATGTACGTGTAGAGGTTCTTCAAGTATGGTTGCAATGCAGGTTCTATTAAGATGGGGCAAACAATCAGCAATATATCTATAAGATTCTTGAAAAGATTTGTTAGGAAAGTTGGGAGAGACCTGCCAGGGCACTTCTAATGATGATGTTCCCAATGGAATGGCCAACAAAACTTAACTTCAGCTCTTTGCAGCCTCCGTATCTTGAAAGCTTATCCATTTTCTTCTTCAGGAAGGCAACTACCTCCCCAGCCAACCTGCTACCCATTTCTTTGAAGTCTCCAGATGTTTTATCTTCATTAGCCTCAGACATTAGGCAATCAGCTCCAGGATCCAATAGAAGCCATTGGTTTCTAACAAGACGTAAATCCAAATGGTGACCCTGTTTATTTAAATCAGAGAAAGATTCAGATAAGTATTTACTTTTAACTCAGATCAAGCATAAAGGAGGCGAATGGAGCTTGCCTGAAAACCATGCACAAAAATGACAGCTCGCAAGATGCGTCCACTTTTTTTACCAGCACTACTTTTGGGTACCAGAGACTCTCCTTGTAGTTTAGGTAACACAATAGTATCCTTTTGTTCAGGACTCGAAGCCAGATCCTTGCTGGAACTATGCTGTGGAACAACCATGACATGTTGTTCTATAAGAACAACAGGAACACGTGAAGGATCAGCATATATATGCATATCTTGAACAGACTGTGTATTGATCTGCAAAATGCTTCAAATCAGTACATGTTTCAGGGGCAAGTTTTGCACTCAACTATTCTTAAAGAAAAGAACAGTGTCAAACCTTCATTTGTGCTATGCTTTTCCTGTGTAGTTCTGCCCGTGAAGCAGAGTTCTGTACAGGTTGCACACATATATAGACTGTTAAATACAGATAGGAGTGATAAAAATACTAGTTATGAATAGAACTTCCTGGCGAGGGCAATTACGTCATCATGGAACTTCCTTGAGACAGAACCTCTAAGAAGGGAATGACGGTGAGTTGAGTCATCAGTCATACTCCGCAGATAGCGATGCGGCATCTCAATTTTTGAGTGAACAGTCCATATTGACCATTCTGCCTTCCTGTCAATAGCCCAAACATCGTGCAAGTAATCCAATATCTTTGTTTTATTTAGCCTGAATAGATCAAGAGAATATTGTTGGACATGGCAAGCATAGAATGTATGATCACTTTAAGTACATGATAAAATCAATAGAACACTTGCCTATGAAATTTCAAGAATGCATTCCATAGAAGTGAAAGCTGTCCACTCAGAGTTAGAAACAGTTCAAACAGCTCTTCCTGGGGAAGAGTATACAGCATAGAATCATCTGTACCATTAACCATATCGTTGGGTCTCTGCAGAAGCCAGACGTAACACATTTTAAATCCACAACTTTCTTGTCGTTAATATATCCAAGATGATCATAAGCATAAAATGAAGCATACCTCCAAGAAGTCATGTAAAATTCCAGCCAACTGTCCCACACCCTTGCCAGTTGCAGGTAACACTTTACTAGAATTCGGTAGTCCAGATTTTGATGCATTAAATGACTCATATTTACCAAGATTCAAGTCAGCAACATCTAAATCCTCGACTGTCTTACCAATAGCACCACTGATTTTGTTCAGTTCTTCAAGCAACATTTTTCTAGAAGTTAATAATGCCTTAACAATGTTATATGATGTTGGACCTAAACCTTGGTCTGGTACCTGCAAATAAAATGCCACTTTTACTCAAATGTTCAATAAAATAGAATAAAAACATGACAATCAACCAGTGCAGGATCTAATTATCGGGAAATCAATGCCCCTCCGTTCTAAATTGTAAGTCGTTTTAGTTTTTCCTAAGTCAAATTTCTCTAACTTTGACTAAGTGTCTAAGTTTATAGAAAAAATAAAATGCACAAAAAACTACAACATCAAACTGGATTCATTAGATTAAATACACCCCAGACATGTTTGACTTGGGACAAATCTAAAACGATTTACAATTTGGAAAAAGGAGGGAGTACATGACTCCCTTCTTAGTACAAAGAAACGCAGCTCACCTGCGTTTTCGAGAGAAAAAAAAGGCCATTAAACTATGAAGTAAATTTGAACCTATAGAGTTTGATCTCAGACATTTATTTCAAACAACTCCTGAGCATAGCAAGATTGTTAAAAAGGTTCAGAGTTGCATCTCTGCATGCAGTACGTGTTCCCAGCCCATCCCACAAGAGTTGTGCCGGGAGTGTTAAAAAATATTATTTTTAGTTGTGCATTCAAACTCCAAGTGCTTCGATCCGGAATAGCACTAGATTTGAGCTAAACATTCCAATGTACAGTTTTATATGGACATGACAGGTTATTCACAGTATCCAAGTTGTTAGGAAGTTACAACGTAAAACAAGCGCATTGGACCCCCATTTTCGAAGAACATTAAAGCTAAAGCTTCACAAACCTGTGTACCTTCAATGATGATTTAATTGCACCAGCTTTCAGGTACACTATGTAATGTCAGATCAACAAGCACAGAGTGGAACGCATCAAAGTGAACTGGACAGTACGAGTGCAGACCCAGGAGCGCTCTGTGTGGGATCCTAAATTCGTGCACAGCTGCTGAAGATGTGACACTAGAAGCTTGAAGCTCAGACCTAGAACTCAGAAAAGCAAAAGCATGGTCAGTATTGCAAATGATATTTGTACATACATGTGCACTGAAGATGCAGAAAGTCTTGGAACTTGGAAGAGAGAGCGCAAGTGGTAAAACGTCTACTCACCCATTGTCTAGGGTTGGGGCATATATCAGCTCAAACTTCAACATCACAGCCGAAGCCGCTGGACCCTTGAACAAATATACCAGACTATAAGGGTACAGTAATCTTAATTCAAATAAAAAAGTGGTATGCCAAAATGCCAACCTCCTCTTCACTATTTAATATGTTGAAAGACACCATGACCGATAGATAGATATCTTGTCTGGCATACTTGATCCGAAACGGCTGTGTGTGGAAGCTATTGTCGACGTCATCTATTCTCCAAATGCCCAATGCATCATCCGCACCAACATCAGAAGCTGCACAATCCACCTACCATGTCATTATCTATTAGCTAAAAGATTGACAGCTACAGAGAGGGCTTAAAAAAAGGATCAACAGCAACCAAAATCCCCTGATACTTATCTAATTTACAACAAAAAGGGATCTGGAGACTACATCATTGTCAAACAAGTTCAAGAGATGATCCAGTGCAAATGTGTTCACATTCTCCATAAACACCATAACAAAAAGTTTGACAGGAGCTCCCTCATGGTCATACTTTAGTTGCGCTTTCACTTTTCCGTAGTTCATCATCATCATCACTTTAACACGAAAGGGAAATGTATCCTTGAGCTTGCACAATTTGACTATTGAGGTGACAATGAAAGGAATAGAGCATTTACAAAACTATTGGGATTGTTAGATATGCTCTAAGTAACACATGGCAAGTATAGAAACAAGGGGATACTATTTATGACACGCTTGCACAGTTATGTTCCGTATCCAGCTGCTCGACAAACTTCTTGATGTTATCAAAGTAGAATTTAGATGGAAACAAAGATGGTCTGGTAGTCTCTAGACGTTGGGTACCTCTGAGAAATCATAGCGTATACTCCCGTGTAAATACGTAAGTTTCTGCTTTCAGTATCACATGGTCCAGATAGATTCTAGTACTACTACGAACAACAATCAAGCAGTTACCAACTGCATGCTAGCACGTGTACCAATCTAACCATTCGCTTCCAATGCAAGCACATATTGAAAATGATGGATATGGGACCAGAAGATCAAATCACGCTATACAGTGCCCAGAGAGGTGCACACCTTCATATTGCACGACCCTGGCAGGCGAAGCCGGTGTTTTGTTGCCACCTTCCTCCCACATTGCACTAATCTTCATCTGATACCATCTGCAGATAATACAAAAATCATCTCAGAAGAAAGAAAAAATAAACAGTAAACGTTTACACTACACAGACAAGTGACAAAAAGGCTTCACATGCAGCATCAGTGAGAATTGTCGCACATAACTCACGTACAAAGCTGCAGTGAGGGCCTGAGGGGAACAAAATCATGGGTAAAATCAGAATTCCTCATCCGCAAGGTGAAATGCCTAGAAACAACCGACCGAACGGGAAAACCAAGGAAAGCAACGCCGGAATGCTCGAGGAAATCCAAACATTTAGCCTAGGAATGCGTAGCGGTCGTACCCTTTACATCAAAGCACTCTGAATTTTTCATGTTTTCTCCCTAGAAGGCAGTAAACAAACTACACCCGAGAAAAGTTTTCGCGACAAAAAAAAATGAACTACAGAAGAAAAAAAACTAGCAATTCTCACCCTTGCTGGAACAGATCGAGGTTGTGGAAGCGGTGGATGTAAATGGCCACCTCGTGCACCGTCTCCATGACGTCCCGCGGCCTAAAGCAGACCCTGGGTCCCTTGGCCGCCTCCGCCTCCGGCGCGGCGGTGTCCAGCCGCCACGACGCCGGCGATACCCTCTTGGCCGCTGCGCGCGGGCTGTCCTGGACGCCGCCGCCGACGAGGCACCTCATGCGGCCGAGCTTCCGCGCCGCGCCCGCCGCTCCGATCCGCGCATCACTCCCTCGATCCCCGTGGGCGGCGAGGCCTAGGCTCCGCTCTCTGTCTCAGTCGATGCCGGGCCCTAGGGTTTGGAAGCTCCCGGACACTCGCACCGGCAGGGGCGCGGTTTCAGCGGAGGCGAAGCGCGCGCGCGCGGGGAGTGGACCGCGCTCCACCAGCGTCGGTCGTTCGGCGCGAGGATGATGCGTGTGGCCTGGGCCTTCGCCGCGTGCGGCGGCTGCCTTGGGGTTCGGCTGCGGAGGGACGGGTCCCACTCCTCAGCGGCGAATCGCTAGCTCGCAGATCGGAAGTCGAAGGCTGCGGTCTGCGGCGGCGCAAGGACGGGTGACACCTAATGGCGGCGCGCGCGACAGCGTGGGCGTAGGGGGATATTCGACTCGCTGGCCGGTGGTCGGGCCCCGCTCGCCGGAGCGTGCGGAGATCGGGGAGGCGGGTCGGAGCGGCAAAGCGGTGTGGTGGTGGTGGTGGAGCAGGCGAGAGAAAGAGGAGAGAGGAGGAAGGAGACAGGTGGGTGCGGGGATTTTAATGCCCGGGCTCGCCCTCACTGCCAGGTGGCGCCGCAGGTGCAGCGGGGCCCGGGAGCAGCATCTTTCGGCACGACACGGACCCACCTGTCAGTGACGCGGGCTTGCTGAACAGCACGTGCGGACGAGGAAGCGGACGGAAATTAGGGCGGGTTTGGTCGTGTTGGGCCGAAAGTACCGTTTGCTAATTCGATGTATGAAAAAAATATTGTTCGACTGACAAAAAAAATATGGTTCATAAATTAAATAAGTCCAAATAAGCATAGTAAATCTCATGTGTAAAGTCTTAGGATGTCACGTCACACGAGATGTGGTGTTCGAATACTTATAAAAAAATAAATTACAGAATTCATCCGTAATTCGTGAGATGAATTTATTAAGCTTAATTATTTTGGGTCTGTTCGGCAGGACTGAAAAATAAACAAAAATATTGTTTCGACTAATTATTGTGAGAGAAAAATAATGTTATGTCTGGAACACTATTCATGTGAACAGTGTTCGTGTGTGTGCGCTGGCCAGCCCAGCCCCAGCCAAAGCCAACCGAACGAAGCCTTTATCATTAGCACATGTGTGTACTGTAGTACCACATGTTAGATTGATCTCCATCAATTGGCCAAACTTTAGATCCACGGGGGCGTCCGATCGCTCTATGGTTGGTGGACCCTCGTCGCACAGCGATATAAAAAGGGAGGTGGGGGCCGGGACACAAGACACGAGGTTCACCTAAGTCGCCAGACACCCCACCTACATCTTAACCCTAGCCGATTTAGAGAGAGGGCGCTGCCAGCGACGGAAAGCTCCGCCACCGGCCACCGCGACAGCGCCCTCACCGTCGGCCTTTTCACCGCGCCACCGACAAGCCAACCCATGGCCAGCTCGTTTTCTACGAAGACGGCCGATGGTTTGCGCCCCACCCTCTCTCTCTCTCCTCTATCTCTAAATCCCGTACTACTTCAAATTTTAGGACTTACTATTTATCCTAAATATCAGTATACATGTTAGATCTATGGCTAGATGATCATGTAACTTCTATCACCACATTGTTAAATTATAGACTAATTAGGCTTATAAGATTTATCTCGCAAATTAGTTACATAATTGTATAATTATTATTTTTTAGTCTATATTTAATACTCCATATATGTGTCTAAACATTAGATGAGACATGAAGTATACTTTAGGAAGTAACTAAACAAGGCCTTAACAGGGGAGGGGAGGGGAGGGGAGGGTGATGATGGCGGTAGCTGTACAGTATAGGTGTACAGGTAGGTGGACTAGGGGGCCGGGTACGGTGGGCCCACATGTCAGAGACAGCTAAAACCTCAGTTTGGGCGTTCGGTTAACCGAAACTAATCGGTTCGGTTCTTTAATTCTTCAGCTAATTCGGTTATCTGAGAAGAAGGGACTGATCGGTTACTTTGAAAATGCGGAACCAATGAATTTCGGTTTCAGTTAATTCGGTTCGGTTTCGGTTGTAGCCGATGGAACTGAATTTTCAGGAACCAAGAAATAACCCATTCAATTGTAAATTTCGACAGCATTTTGCCTGATTTTCATGCCGTCAAAAGGGACAATTTAAACAGCAATACAGCATAAAACAACAGTACAACACACATATGTTATTGTTCTCTCAAATATTCAAGCATAGAGCAATATTCAAGCCTGCAGTAAAAAAACAAGAGGTCCAACAGCTTAGCTCGGTTATTTCAGGTCAATTCGGCTAACCTAGTGCTGGAACCGAATTAACCGTAATAATTTTGGTTCCGGGAACTGGAACCGAACCTGAGACCGAATATTTCGGTTTCGGTTACCTCGGTTTCTCGTTTTTTTTTTCTTCCATGCTGACCAAAGCCCAATCTCTCCGCTCCGCCTTCCTGGAAACTGCAAAGCGTATGTAGTGTCTACAGTATCGTCACGGTATCCATCCTCCGCCGGAAAGCGGGCTCCGCAGGATGACGCGTTCGCTTTCCAGGCTCGGCCCGCCCAGGCCCGGTGGTGGTGGGCCCCAGAGCGGGAGCGGCGGTGGACGGTCGCTGGTCAGTGGTCCACGGTCCCGAGTCCCGACTGACAGCAGCGACGCCGGAGTCTCCGCCTGTGGGCCCGCGGCCGCAGAGTCGGTGGGCCAGGCCTCACGTGCTGACGTGGCTGGTCCCAGCTGATGGTGGGCAGTGCTAGCGTAGTATTGTACGTCACATGTCAAACAGAGGAAAAGGCTGAAAAAAACAAGAAACAAAGCGAAAGGGATTTCCGTTTTCTTTTCCTTTTTTTGTCGGATTTTTTTGGCTGGCTGGGTAACTCTCTGGACACGTCAATCAACCTTGTTTCATTTGTTGGTTTCAAACAAATTTCAAACCAACCAAATCAATGTTGTTTTTCTCTCATAAAAACCAAAGACTAGCCAGCAAAATTTAAACCAAAGACCAAAGACCAACCAAATGAATAAGCCCAATGTCCGGCAAGAGCTCGTGGAGTTTTGAAATTTTAAACTATGCGACCGATTTAATTGACCTCTAGTATAGCGCGCGTTTGTACGTACGTACACCCAAATTACTACTCGAGTACTCGTACAGTACGTACGATACCACCAGGACACCGGACACTGGGCCCACGCGGCAGCGAGATGGCCCGGGGGCCGGGCATCAAGGCAGGCGACGCATGGAAATGGAATGGAAAGGGATGTCCGGGTGTCGGGACTCGGGAGCCGCCACGCCGATGGAGACGAGATGGATCCGGAGGCAAGTGGTCGGAGGGATCCGTGGCGGTGATGATCTCGTCCGGCGTCTGGTTGGTGGTGGCCGGCGCTTTATTGGACACCGCCTCAGGGCAAGGCACATGACAAGAACATGCTCCGTGTCGAAGGGGGAGGAAGAATTTTTTATTTTTAACACTTTTTAAGTTTTTTTAATTCTAACATTGTTTTTTTTTCTTCAAAAGTAACACTTTTGGACGCGCCTGTTTGCATGGCGCAGCAAATTCACGCTGTCGCGCCATGCATGGCGGCGCGGCATGGGGCGGTCCACGACCGCGGCGACCGCTGACGTGGTGGGGCCGACGTGCCATGCATCATGGCGCGGCGGTGCCGCGCTACCCATCATGGCGTGGTGAGGCTTTACTTACCCATTGCGGCGCTGGCTCCCTCCCTCTGTCTGTCTGCCCGACTCGAGGTGAGGCCGCTCGTGGCGCCCGCGCCATTGCCTCTCGGCTCCCCCACGGCCGGTCACCGACTTTTCCTCCCTTGCCGGCCCTCTCCCTACCTTCTCCGAAACTCTTCATCGACCTTATCAAGGTAATGAAGCTCCTCCTCGGCCTCCATGGTGGATCAAAGGATTTGAATGAGTAGTTAGGGTATGGAGAAAAATATGAGTTCGTTAGAACGTTGGATTGAAGGATTAGGATTAGGATTGTCAATGTTAAGGTTAATTGGTTAGTTAGAATTATGATTACCATATATTCTAAGGTCAAAATTTATATGAATTTTGCTTGTTTGAGTTTGCATATCAACTTTTATATGTGAATAAATATATGGACACACTTTTGATGTACCAAATTTTATTTTTTTCATCAAAGTATAGTTTTTATATAGTTTGCATGTTTACACCTAAGATAGAGTTTGTACCAAAGTGTAGGTTATATTTTATTTGTTGTAATGCAAATGGTTCTCATTAACATTAATTTGTGATGTTTTGATTTTTGTTTATTAAATTACAACCGTTTTGTTAGATGCAAGACATGAAATCCTGTACCCATTCTCCACAACCACCTCAGCTATGGCCACATTGGAATCTTGGATTACCCTATTGTAGCAGGACCAGTGATCATGGTCCCGCAAGGGCATCAGCACATAGTGTGCCCTAGTCTTTCCACTGTCAAACCTCCCCTTCAGTGTATAATCATTGTTGGGTTCATAAACCCAGAGTCCCTTGGGGACCGGCTTCCACGCTAGGGCTCGGCCCAGAAAAATAGCATGCAGTCCATGGGCTGGCCCAAAACTCTAAAAAACAACGGGCCGGGAGGACAGTCCGGTCGCCGACCGGGAGGCCTACCCGAAAGGGCAAACGCCCGCTCATCAACTTCTTTGGCCCACCTTTCCGACCGGAGCGCTCGCTTCGGGCACTGGCCGCCTCCAGGCGGTCCCTCCGATCAGAAGGCCTGGCCCAAAACGTTGCTTCCTACTCCGACCCCGCAACTCCGACCGGGGACCCGTAGGAAGCCTACGTACCGCCCTTCTCCGACTGGCGCGGCCAAGGGCAACTAGAGCTATCCGACCGGGGACGCCCGCTCGGAAGGGACCAGGGGCGAATGGAGAGGACAGCGCACTAAGTCAAACCACCATACCGGGACCATACCCTGTACGCCTACGGAAACAGTGCTCCACAACCGCCCTAACACGAGTAGTATTGTAGGCACCGACATTTGTGTCTACAGTA